GGCGCCGAGCCAGTTTTTCTATTTTTAATAGAGATGGCAGGAGGGGAGGTTCCTCACTTTTGCCCTGGTTTGTCTCAAACTCCTGAGCTTAAGCAATCCACCTGCTTTAGCCTCCCAGAGTGGTAGGATTACATGTCTGAGGTATCATGCTCAGCTAAAGGTAAATATAATTAATGTTAAAAAGGAAATAATTTGGGAAGAAAAAGTTTTCTTTGAAAAAGGGGTGTGGTGTGGTGGCTAATGCCTGTAATCTCAGCACTTGGGAGGCTGAGGCAGGTGGATTGCCTGAGCTCGTAGGTTTAAGACCAGCCTGAGCTAGAGCGAGACCCTGCCTCTAAAGAATAGCTGAGTGTTGTGGCGGGCCCCTGTACTTCCCAGCTACTAGGGAGGCTGAAGCAAGGGAATTGCTTGAGTCCAAAGCTTGAGGTTGCTGCAAGCTATGACACCATGGTACTCTACCAAGGGTGACAAAATGAGACTCTGTCTCAATTAAAAAAAAAAAAAGAAAAAATAGGGCAGCACCTGTGGCTCAGTGAATAGGACACTGGCCCCATATACCGAGGGTGGTGTGTTCAAACTCAGCCCTGACCAAACTGCAACAAAAAAAATAGCTGGGTGTTGTGGCAGGCGCCTGTAATCCCAGCTACTCTGGAGGCTGAGGCAAGAGAATCGCCTAGGCCCAGGAGTTGGAGGTTGCTGTGAGCTGTAGGATGCCATGGCACTCTACCGAGGGCGATAAAGTGAGATTCTGTCTCTACAAAAAAAAAAAAAGAAAAAGAAAAGAAAAAATAGCTTGATTTATAAAAATAATAGCCATTTATTATAAAAGTTAAAAAGAAAAGTACAGGCTTGGTGCCCGTAGCTCAAGTGGCTAAAGTGCCAGCCACATACACCTAAGGTGGCAGGTTTGAATCCAGCCCGGGCTCACCAAACAACAATGATGGCTGCAACCAAAAAAAATAGCCAGGCATTGTGGCAGGCACCTGTGGTCCCAGCTACTTGGGAGGCGGAGGCAGGAGACTCCCTTGAGCCCAGGAGTTGGAGGTTGCTGTGAGCTGTGATACCATAGCACTCTATCCAGGGGGACAGCTTGAGGCTCTGTCTCAAAAAAATAAAAGAAAAGAAAAGTACAAAGAAAGTAAAGGTCATTTGGAATCCCAACCCAGAAATAACCATTCTTTACATTTTGAAGAGCATTATTCCTTTATATACATGCATACATAGTTAATTAGAGATTCACAGTTTTACATAAGCAGATTGTATGATGCACATTATATGCTATTTTATAATCATTTCTCCCTCAATATCATTTTGGGTCAGAGAAATATTTGTAAGGAGATATATTAGACCACGGATGAGTATTTTGAGCTCTCCTGATTTCGGAGACCCCATTAGAAACAGGCATGATCGTCTACAGACAGCTGCCTTCCGAAATCCTGTAACACTTGATTGTTATGTAACAAATGTTAGTTATGACTCGGATCTAGTAGCACAGTGGTTACAGTACCAGCCACATACACCGAGGCTGACGGGTTCAAACCTAGACCAGCCCGGCTAAACAACGACAACTACAACAAAAAGTAGCTGAGCGTTGTGGCAGGTGCCTGTAGTCCTAGCTACTTTGAGGCTGAGATAAAAGAATTGCTTAAGCCCAAGAGTTTGAGGTTGCTATGAGCTGTGATGCCATGGCACTCTACTGAGGGCCACATAGTGAGACTCTGTCTCAAAAAACAATAAAACCCTCACAAATGTTAGTTGTAGGGGAAAAAGTGACTTACCTAGTAGTCACCTTTACATAGAAATGTAAAATGTAGTGGCCAGGTATGGTATTGTAGCTTTTACCTGTAATCTCAGCACTTTGGGAGGTTGAGATTGGAGGATCACTTGAGATCGGGAGTCCCCCACCCCCCACAGAGAATTGGATAGGAGAGACTAGGAGTTTGAGACTAGCTTGAGTAGTATAGCAAGTTCTATCTCTATGGAAAATATAAAAATTTTCTATTTTTTCCCAGTGTAGTGGTGTGCACCTATAGTCCCAGCTATTTGGGAGGTTGAGGCAGAAGGATTGCTTAAGCCCAGGAGTTTGAGATAGCAGTAAGTAAGCTATGATGACACCTCTGCACTCTAGCCCAGGCAACAGAGCAGAGGGAGACCCTATCTCAAGAAAAGAAAAAATATATATAAATTGTAACAACCAACAAAAAATAGCAAATTATGGATGTATACATTTTCTATAGAGTTTCTTTAAGAAAAAGAAAACACTCCTGTGAAGGATCATCTTCTTTTTCTGACACCTAACATAAATTTTCATATTTATTTCACTTATTCCATAACTGCTTGTTGAACTGCTGCTGCTGAGTAGTAACAGGGTAAATAAGGCAGGTAACTGTCACCGGTCCTGCTGATGGACACAGTCAGGTACATTTATTACAGGTTATAAGAGCTGTGATTGGGGAAGTCACAAGGTGTTGCAGCAACACCTAGGGGTACACATAACCATCTCGTGGTGAGAGCAGAGGTCTGAACTGAGAGCTGAAGAAAATTAAACAAAAGAAGTAGGAACTGGCCACGTGAAAGGGAGAAGAGGGATGGGGACAGCTTCATGAAGTTTGCAGCCCTGAAGTTTGTTGTCCACCAGAAGTAGTTCTAAAAACTGAAGCATAGGTGACAAGGAAAAGGGGTGTGGGAGGAGTTTAGCACTTTGCTGGAGGGTGGCTGAGTCTGTCTAGGACCTCATGAGCCTCGCCAAAGAATTCAGACTTCACCTTGAAGGGTGATGGGTAGGACTTTACGTTCCACTTCTGAAGTCAGAGCATAGGATTTTCTGTTGTCAGATTATCTCCTGCATGAGTGCATAGCACAGAGGACATTGATGATCTTTGGCTTTGGCCCCTAAAGAAAGCCACTGTCATAAAGCAGGCAGCAAATAGTATGTTTTGGACTGAATGTTTTTGATTTACCTCTAAATGAATCAGAGAACTACCGAGTGACCATTTGC